TCCTAGATTTCTATAAAACTGAAAGATGCGCCGGGCGCGGTGGCTCACGCCTGTAATCCCAGCACTTTGGGAGGCCGAGGCGGGCGGATCACAAGGTCAGGAGATCGAGACCACGGTGAAACCCCGTCTCTACTAAAAATACAAAAAATTAGCCGGGCGTGGTGGCGGGTGCCTGTAGTCCCAGCTACTTGGGAGGCTGAGGCAGAAGAATGGCAGGAACCCGGGAGGCGGAGCTTGCAGTGAGCCGAGATCGCGCCACTGCACTCCAGCCAGGGGGACAGAGCGAGACTCCGTCTCAAAAAACAAAACAAAACAAAACAAAAAAAACTGAAAGATGCCTCATCAATTTAACATCTTTTTCTGAGAAAAAAAATGTTTCTGCACACTCCTAGCACTTTGGGAGGCTGAGACGGGTGGATCACTTGAGGTCAGGAGTTCGAGACCAGCCTGGCCAACACGGTAAAACCTCGTCTTTACTTGAACCCAGGAGCTGGAGGTTGCAGTGAGCCAAGATTGCACCACTGCACTCCAGCCTGGGCGACAGAGTGAGATTCTGTCTCAAAATAAATAAATAAATAACATTAAAATTAAATAGTAATCATGTATTTAGCTCATTAATATGCAATTTGGACAGGGCTCAGTGGTGATGACTCATCTCTGCTCTACAAAACATCTGGGACCTGGACTTACCAGGCATCTCTCACTTCAAGTAGCATTACAGTCTCTGTGTGTGGTCTCTCCCTGCAATCTCTCTAGGATGGCCCCGGGGTAGCCGAATTTCTCACATGGCAGCTTGCTTCCCCTGTAGCCAGTCTTCCAAGAGAGATGTAGACTCTCTTAAGAGAGGCTGGCACAGCGTCACTTTTGCTGTATTCTATTGCTTATAGCAGTTACAGAACCCTCCAGAGTTAAGGGGAGGGGACAAAGAAGGCTACACTTCTGGATGGGAACAATGTCAAAGAATTTGTGGCCATCTTACTTTTGCCATATGGATATATGAGATTTGGGTGTTGGGATTAAAAGAGAAAAGTCCAGGGTAATTACTAGATTTCTAGACTGGGCCACAGTGGTGACGTCCACACAGATACAGACTACATGTGAGAGTATATAGTGAGAGTATATAGAGCAGGGTAACACTTTGGATATGCTGAGTTTGAGATGTCCATGGGAAATCCAAGGGGCATCAAGGAGGCAGCTGAATATAAAGGCTGAGAACTTGGCAAAAGAGGTCTGACCTCTAGATATGAATATGGAAATAATCAGTCTTCAGAAGAGTTCTGTCCACTGTGGTGCATCAGTGTCATGAGCAGTTATAACTTAGATAACCAGGAATTCATGAATAACAACAGTTGAAGTGTGGCCAGGCGCGGTGGCTCACACCTGTAATCCCAGCACTTTGGGAGGCCGAGGCAGGAGGATCACGAGGTCAGGAGATTGAGACCATCCTGGCCAACACTGTGAAACCTTACCTCTACTAAACATACAAAAAAATTAGCTGGGCGTGGTGGCACGCACCTGTAATCCCAGCTACTCAGGCAGCTGAGCAACTGGAACAGTGCTGGCAACTGAGATGGGGAAAGTAAGTGTGGGGAGAGAGGTTAGGACTTCAGTTTCAGACATGTTAAATATAAGATACAGAATAGGCAGTTGAATATATAAACCTGCACTTCAGGGGAGAAGCTTAGACTGGAGATGATCAGCATATAGCAATGTGGTATTTAAAGCCAGAAGACTGGATGAGATTCTCAGGGGAGTGTCTGTAGATGGAAAGGACCAAGAATTGAAGTCTGCACACTCCAACATCAAGAGGTTGGGGAAAAGAGGAGCATCTAGGAAAGGAGTCCAAAAAGGAACAGTTAGTGAAATAGGTAGAATCAAGAGAGTGGTGTCCTTGATGCCACATGAAGAATGTGTTTCCAAAAGGAAGGAGTAAGCAATTGGTCAAATTCTACAAGTAGTCAAATAAGCTTAGAAATAACAGTTCAGTCCAGGCGCTGTGGCTCACACCTGTAATCCCAGCACTTTGGGAGGCAGAGGCAGGAGGATCGCTTGACGCCTGGAGTTTGAGACCAGCCCGGGCAACACAGGAAGACCATCTCCACAAAAAATAAAGAATAAAAAATGTGGCGGGGCATGGTGGCACAAGCCTGTGGCCCCAGCTACTCGAAAGGCTGAGGCAAGAGGATCACCTGAGCCCAGGAGTTTGAGGCTGCAATGAGCTGGGATCGAACCACTGCACCCCAGCCTGGATAACAGAGCAAGATTCTGTGTCAAAAAAAAAGGAAAAAGAAGTTTAGTATTATATAGGTAATGTGGATGTCACTGATAACCTGGAAAAAAGCAGTTTCAGCAAGGCAGTAGGAGCAAAAGCCTGAAAAACATGGATTTAAGAGAGAATGAGGCCAGACACAGTGGCTCACGCCTGTAATCCCAGCACTTTGGGAGGCCGAGGCAGGTGGATCACTTGAGGTAAGGAGTTCGAGACCAGCCTGACCAACATGGTGAAACCCTGTCTCTACTAAAAATACAAAAAAATTACCCAGGCTGGGTAGCACATGCCTGTAATCCCAGCTACTTGGGAGGCTGAGGCAGGAGAATTGCTTGAACCCAGGAGGCAGAGGTTGCAGTGAGCCGAGATCTTGCCATTGCACTCCAGCCTGGGCGACAGGAGCAAAACTCCATCTCAATAAATAAATAAATATATAAATAAAAACAAGAGAATGAGCAAGAAGGAATTAGAACACTCGAGTTTTGCTGTGGGTGAGAGGAGAAGAGATATGGAGTGGTAGCTGCAGAGAGTGGAGGTCGAGCGGATGTTTGTATGCTTAGTACATACAGTACTGAGTAAAAAGGGAGAAAAATTGAAAATGGAAATAATTTAATTGCTGGAATGATGTCCTTGAGCAGCTGTTCTACGGAAGTAGAAAGGTTGTCTCAGCATAAGCTCAGAGACAGTTTAATTTATAGTAACAGGAAGGGAAGGCAAAATATGTGGCTACAGATGGTGGTAGGTGGGGAGATGTCATTGTAGAGGAAGTCCTCCCTTCCTCCTTCCTTCTTTTCAGATGGGTCTCTTTCTGGCCATGCTGGAGCGCAGTGGCAGGATTGTAGTTCACTGTATCCTCCAACTCCTGGGCTCAAGAAATCTTCCTATAGCTGGGACTACAGAGCGACACCACTATGCCTGGCTAATTAAAAAAAAAAAAATTATTAGAGATGGGGGTGTGTTGCCCAGGCTTGTCTTGAACTCCTGGCCTCAAGCCACCCTTCCATCTCAGCCTCTGATTGCTTTAATTTTCTAAATGAAGAAGCAAGTTGAGAGTCAGGATGATGACGGAGGCAGTGGAGGTTTCGGGGGTTACGAAACACTCATTTAGAACAGTAAATGGAGAAGGCAAATACAATGTGTTTGCCAGGCAGCAAGATAGGTCCACTCAAGGTACATGGTCCTGATGGAGTTAGAGGGAGGCATGTCAGTATGGGTGTATAGTTTTCTGTTTTCTTTCTTTTTTTTGAGATGGAGTTTAGCTGTTGTTGCCCAGGCTGGAGTGTAACCGCGCAATCTCGGCTCACTGCAACCTCCACCTCCCAGGTTCAAGCGATTCTCCTGCCTCAGCTTCCCAAGCAGCTGGGATTACATGCACGCACCATCATGCCCCCGCTAATTTTTCTTTTTCTTTTCTTTTTTTTTTTTTTTGGAGACTGAGTCTTGCTCTGTCACCCAGGCTGGAGTGCAGTGGCGCGATCTCGGCTCACTGCAACCTCTGCCTCCCGGGTTCAAGTGATTCTCCTGCCTCAGCCTCCCGAGTAGCTGGGATTACAGGCGTGCATTACCATGCCCGGCTAATTTTTTGTATCTCACTGTTTCACCATGTTGGCCAGGCGGGTCTGGAACTCCTTACCTCGTGATCTGCCCACCTCTGCCTCCCAGAGTGCTAGGATTACAGGCGTGAGCCACTGCACCCGGCTAATTTTTCTGTTTTTCGTAGAGGCCGGGTTTCACCATGTTGGCCAGGCTGGTCTCGAACTCCTGACCTCAAGTGATCCTCAAGTCTTGGACTCCCAAAGTGCTGGGATTACAGGCGTGAGCCACCACACCCGACCTTGGTGTATAGTTTTCTTCAGGCACGTTCAGCTACAGATTTGAATGTAATCGAAGTTGTTTTTACCGATGAAGAGTTAGGCAATGAAGTAATTTAATGGTATTCAAGATAAGGAAGAAACACCAATGAAGTGAGGGACAGTGAAGAGCTTGTATAACAATGGATTTCAGGTAGAATGAGGGGGCTGCACTGCCAAAGTTGGTGTCCCAGAGGGAGTGAAGTGGAAAGATAGGAAATGATGGTCGGAACCAGATAAATGAAACGGAGAATGACAGGGAATGGCTGTGGTCACTGGTAATAGAAGTGACCAACAAGCGTTGGCTATCACTAAGGAACAAAACCTTCCCTGCTGGAGATTAGCATTTTCCCCGATTTTGAACATCTACCCCCACAACATCTTCTAAACATCCACTATGGGCCCTTATTGCATTGACAGCCAAGCGCAAGATCACGGTTGGAATGAACGGCAAATTCTTTTCACGTATCCAAGTGAGTAGCACTCAGGTAACCTCAGCAGGTGGCAGCATCAAGGTTTACCACATTACGTTTCATTATACAGGAATACACGAATACAGTTTCTTGGGGGGAAAAAAGACCAAAACCAAAGGCCCTTCCCTCACTACCCCTTCCTCACCCCGCCAACCCAAGTGTCGCCACTGAAGAGCGAAGGGAGGATCGGAAAAGATTTACAGACGGACACCCTAACCGAGGGAGAAGTGACCAAACACCTGGGATCCGGCAGAGGACGCCTAAAGGCCGGACCTCCCCGGACCTCGCCCCTCCTGGGAGACTGAGCCCCGCGTTTTGGAAACAGAAACAAACCCGGTCCCGCCCCCTGCCCTGCTGCCGCTGAGAAAAGGGCACCGCCCTCCGGAGGCGTTCCAGCCGGCCACTCGAAGATTCCAGCAGATACAGTCGGCCTCCCCTGCCCGCTTCTCTCCTGGATTCCCCGCTGCCCATCCTCATTCTCCCGGTGGAAGCGCCGCAACGAAGGACCGGAGCCCCCTTTCTGCTCCCGGGGTGCTTCACCCGTCCGCAGCGCCGCCCGCCCCGCCCCCGGAAGTGACGGCGGCCGCGCGGCCCTGCCTTTGTCCCGTCGGGCATCGCGGCGACGGCGGGAAGATGGCGGCGGCGGGATCCCTGGAACGAAGCTTCGTGGAGCTAAGCGGGGCTGAGCGCGAAAGGCCGAGGCACTTTCGGGAATTCACAGTCTGCAGCATTGGTACGGAAGTGGCCAGGGAGGGCGCGATCCGATCTGTCCCCTGGGGCTCCTCTCATGGGTCCTAAGGTCTCTGACTCCTGGGTTCATCCTTCTGAGTCCACATGCCTCCAGCCCCGGGATCAGAGATTCCTTGATGTCCGACGTTTTCCTCTTTTCTTTGTATGGGTTGTCAGTCTGTCACCCTCTGCTTTATCAGGTCCCTTAGTCCCTGTCATTTCTCAGAAGATGCGTGTGCAGGCTGACCACGTTCATTTTGCAGGGACCGCAAATGCCGTGGCTGGCGCCGTAAAATACAGTGAGAGCGCGGGAGGCTTTTACTATGTGGAGAGTGGCAAGTTGTTCTCCGTAACCAGAAACAGGTTCATTCATTGGTAAGTGCTGTGGTTCGCCAAACTCCCCTGGAAGGTAGGATTTGGTGTGTAAATTTTAGTTGCTGTTCCCAAAGTGCTATTCTAGAAGCGGTAATCGACACTTAGGGAAAGAGAAAGTTTTTCTTTTTCAGTTCGTATCAGAGTCGGGAAAACTGAGACACAGTTCTAGAAGAGTTTACCCTCCCCCCCACCAATACACACACACACACCAAGCAACACCAAAAGCAGAGGGAATGTAGCTTAGGGGTATAAAGCCCATAAGACTAGTTTTAAACATGAACCCATTATGTTTTTATAGTGCTTTACAGCTTCCTTCATTGAACAAATACGTTCGAGCTTCAATATGTCAGGCATTGTGCTAGGTACCAGGACGAAATGAACAAAACTGCCATCTTCATCATGCAAGACGTTGTAGCAATGTCAGAATAGTTGTGGACTCACTTTTCATGGGGAAATTTTGTGGAGGAAAACTTGCCCTAGAGGAAAAACATAGGGGTTACGAGAGGCTAATGAGAGGACCAAATGTTATTAGTGGGGTAGGAAAAGGCTTTCACAGTTACCCTGAGATCTAAAGGACACGAGGTTAGCCAGGCATGGGGAGTGGACAGAGAGGAGTCCAGCAAGCAGGATCACCATATGCAAAGGTCACAAAGTGGAAAGAATGTGGCAGGTTTGGAACTGACCAAAGATCTGTGTGGCTTAAGTGCAGTGGGTAAAACAGAAAGTAATGTGAGATACTAAGGCTGGAGAGGTAGGCAGGACTCGGACCATGAGGGACCCTTAGGCCATTTTTAAGGATTTTTGAATTTTATCCTAAGTACATTGAGTAATAATGGAATAGGTTTTTAAGGAGTTACTAACATCAAAATTGCATTTTTGGATGGGAACAGTTAACACTGGGGATTCCAAAAGGAGCGGGGGAGCAGAGGTTGGAAAACCTATCAGTTACTGTGTTCACAACTTGGGCGGCAGGATCATTAGAAGCCCAAACCTCATGTAGATAGGAATATATACACAATATATTCATGTAACAAACCTGCACATGTACCCCTGAATCTAAATTTTTTAAAATGTATTTTTAGAAGATCTCAGTCTACTTTGTGGAAAGTGGATTTGAATCAGATGGGTATAATGCAAAAAAAAGTTTGCTTTTATGATGGCCCAAGTAAGGGTTGCTGGTGGTTCAATTGTGGGAATGACTAGAAATAGAAAAGTAGATGGATTCAAGATACCTTTGGAAGATAGATTCACTAGGACTTGGTGGTGGATTGAATATGGGGTAAGGGATGGTAAAAGAAAAGGAGACAACAAGGACAGCTCCCTGGTGTCTCATGTGACTAACCAGATGTGAGTGGGGAGGGGTTGCCATTTACAGAGATCCATAGAAGATGGATTTTGGAAAGATATGAATAATTCTGTTGGACATAGTAAATTTGAAGTACCTGGGGAGCAGCCCTTTGGAAATGTCAAGTAGGCATTGAAATTTACAGGTCTAAGGCTCAAAAGAGAGACTTTATGTTAGAGATACAAATTTCATTTAATTAAATATTTTGGCTGGGCACAGTGGCTCACACCTGTAATCCCAGCACTTTGGGGGGCTGAGGTGGGAGGATCTCTTGAGGCCAGGAGTTCAAGACCCCATTTCTACAATTTTTTTTCTTTTTTCTTTCTGTTTTTTTTTTCTTTTCTTTTTGAGAGACGGTCTGGTGGCTCCATTGTCCAGGCTGGAGTGCAGTGGTGCAATCATGGCTCACTGCAGTCTCCGCCTCCTGGGTTCAAGTGACCCTCCCACCTCAGCCTCCCAAGTAGCTGGAATTACAGGTATGCGCCACCATGCCCAGCTGATTTTTCTATTTGTTTTTGTAGAGATGGGGTTTTGCCTGGTTGCCCAGGCTGGTCTTGGACTGCCGGACTCAAGCAGTGCCCCATTCTCGGCCTCCCAACTTGCTGGGATTACAGGCGGAGCCACCATATCTGGCCTGATTTTTAAAAATTAGCCAGGCGGGGTGGCATGTGCCTTTCATCTTAACCACTCAGGAGGCTGAGGCGGGAGGATCTGATCATGCCACTGCACTCCAGCTTGGGAAACAGGGTAAGACCCCATCTCTTTTATAAAAACAGGAAGAAATAAAGGAAATTTGCTTGCCTAATATATTTCAGTCCATTTTTAGGGAATAGGGATATAGCAGGGAACAAAACAAAGTTCCTACTCTCATGGAGGAAAATAGGCAACAACAACAATAACTAAAAAAACAAAAAACCCAAGTACATGTAGTTTTGTTACAGGAAAAGGGTGCCGATCCAGGCCCCAAGGGAGGGTTCTCAGATCTCACACAAGAAAGAATACAGGGCAAGTCTGCAGTGCAAAGTGAAAGCAAGTTTATTAAGAAAGTAAAGGAGGCCAGGTGTGGTGGCTCACGCCTGTAATCCCAGTACTTTAGGAGGCCGAGGCAGGTGGATCACCTGAGGTCAGGAGTTTGAGAGGTCAGGAGTTCGAGACCAGCCTGACCAACATGGTGAAACCCTGTCTCTACTAAAAATACAAAATTAGCTGGGCGTGGTGGCACATGCCTGTAATCCCAGCTAATTGGGAGGCTGAGGCAGGAGAATAGCTTGAACCGAGGAGGTGGAGGGTGCAGTGAGCTGAGATTGCACCATTGCACTCCAGCCTGGGCAACAAGAACGAAACTCCATCTCAAAAAAAAAGTAAATAAATAAAAGAATGGCTACTCCATAGACACAGTAGCCCCAAGGGCTGCTGGTTGCCCATTTTTATGGTTATTTCTTGAAGATATACTAAACAGGGATGGATTATTCATGCTTCCACTTTTTAAACCATACAGGGTAACTTCCTGATGTTGCCATGGCATTTGTAAACTGTCATGGCCTTGGTGGGAGTGTAGCAGTGAGGGCAACCAGAGGTCACCCTTGTCACCATTTTGGTTTTGATGGGTTTTGGCTTGCTCCTTTATTGCATCCTGTTTTATCAGCAAGGTCTTTATGACCTGTATTTTGTGCCGACCTCCTAATCTCATCCTGTGACTTAGAATGCCTTAACTGTCTGGGAATGCATGCCAGTAGGTTTCAGTCTCATGTTACCCAACTCCTGTTCAAGATGGAGTCGTTCAGGTTCACATGCCTCTGACAGTTTGTCAGTTGATAAATGGAATAGGGAAAGGAGAACAGCGTAAGAGGGAAGAAGAATACCTGTGGCAGTTAATGTTTTATGTAGGGTGGTTGGGCAAAAGCCAGGGGTAAGTTGACATTTGAGCAGAAGAAAGGATACCTGGGGAATGAGTATTTCAGGTGGAGCCCTCCAAGAAGAAGGAATAGTAAGTGCAAAGAACCCTGAAGCAGGAGCTTGTTGTGTTCAAAGAGTGGAAAGGAGCCAGGAGTCTGCAGCTGAGTGAACGAAGGGTAGAATAATAAGAAAGAGATAGCTTAAGGCCAGATCAGGGCTTTGTTGGTTATTTTAAGCTTCAGCTTTTGCTCTGAGTAAGATGAGAAGAAGCTGTGGAAGATTTAAGTAGAGGATGACATGATCTAAGATCTGAGTTTCTAAAGGATTGCTTTGACTGCCGTCTTGAGAATAGAGTGTGGTGGGGGAAAGGGTGGGTGTGGGGAGACCAGTTAGGAGGCTGGTGCCACAATTCAGACATGGTGGCTTAGATCAGGGTGGTAGTGACAGAGGCAGTGAGAAATGTTCTGATTGTGGATATGTTTTCAAGGTGGATTTGTTAGAATTACTATTGCATTGGATGGGGGGTATACAGAAAGAAAAGAGTCAGAGGTGAGCCCTAGATTTTTGGCTTGAGCAGTTGGAAATTAGGGAGATGTCATTAATTGAGATGGAAAAAAGTATAGGTGAAGCAGGTACTTTTGTTTGTTTTCTTCAGGTTCAGTGAGTGCAGGAGTTCTGTTTTGGACAGTTGTAATCTGAAATGCCTGTTAGATATCCAAGTGAGTGCTGAGATAGTAGTCAGGAGTTGAGTGAAGTCGGGCTGAAGATACAGATTGTGAAATTGTTGGCATTAGATGGTGCGTAAAGCTGTTCTACTGAATGAGATCACCTAGAAAGTGAGAATAAATTAGGATTTTTCACCTTCTGCACTATTACTGTCAGCTAAGTCTTCATTGTGGGGGGCTGTCCTATATGTGATAGGTTGTTAAACAGCATTCCCGGCCTCTACCCTCTGCCTACCAATAGCACATCTATACGATCACTTCTACCCCAGTTACAATAACCAAAAATATCTCTAGATATTGCTTAATATCCTGGTGAGTGAGGAAGAATCGCCTCCAGTTGAGAGCCACTTGAGTAGAGCGGTCTGGGACTAAACCCTGGGGCACACCAACATTTAGAAAAATGAGGAACCAGCAAAGGAGCCCAAGAAGGAGTAAGTGAAGTAAGAGTTGAACAAAGAATGTGGTATCCCAGAAGCTAAGGGAAATATTTCAAGGAGGAGGAGAGTGAAAAACTGACAGTGTTGCATTTAAGCCAGGCAAGATGAAAAATGAAAACTGGCCTTTGGATCATGGAGGTCATTGGTGACCTGGTCAGAAATTGCTGCAGTAGTCCTACAAAAGCCTCAGTGGAGTGGGTTCAAGAGAGAAAGGGAGCAGAGGAATTGTGAGTATAGAACAGCCCTTTCAAGGTATATTGCTGTAAGGGAAGCAGAGAAATCACATGGTAGTTGGAGAGCAAGGGAGGAACATAGAGAAAATATACTAATATATCTATGTGCAGTTGGGAATGACCTAGTAGATGCAGTTGAGAGCGATCACTAGAGGAAAGGAATTTGGGAAACTGAGAAGGTGGAGTTTGTTTGTTTGTTTTTTTAGAGTCAGTTTCACTCTGTCACCCAGGCTGGAGTACAGTAGCACAGTCATGGCCTACTGCAGCCTGAACTCCTAGGCTCAATCGATCCTCCCATCTCAGCCTCCCAGGTGGCTAAGATTGCAGGCGGGCATCACCATGTCTGGCTAGTTTTTTTATTTTG